GAACTTACATTAATATAAAATATACTTTGATCCCAGAATTATTAAAAATGTTACAAAAATGAATGCGTTTATATAAACATAGATGTGGGAAAGAAGGCAAAATATATTGTAAAGTTATTTAAAAAGCAATTTTTCAACCATATATGTAGTATGGTCAGATGTTTTTTACACTGAAAATTATATGTTAGAAGAGACAGATAGAGTGATCTTGAGGCATAGGGGTTATCACTGGTAGATGGATATACAGGATTATTTGTTAGGGTATACCTTTCTAATCACAGATTTTAAAAATAAAGACATGTGATTTTGTTGGGGAAAGGTAATTTCTTTTTCCTTACCAAATTGAGGTATTGGGATCTCACTAATATCTCGGTCTTTAAAATCTGATATCACTATGAGAAAAATAATAGTAATTCAATTCATTTGAATAGCACTTTACAGGGTGTTTTGGGCTTTTCTTCACAGATATTTTATTGTAGTAAAATATAAATAACATACAATTTATCTTTTTAATCATTTGTAAGTGTACAGTTCAGTGATCTTAAGTACATTCACATTGTTGTGCAATCATCACCACTATCCACTTCTAGAACTTTTTTTTCATCTCAAATAGAAGCTGTCCCCATTAAACACTAACTCCCAGCTAGACGCGATGGCACACACCTGTAATCTCAGCACTTTGGGAGGCTGAGGCTGGTGGATCACTTGAGCTTAGGAGTTCGAGACCAGCCTGGATGACACGGCAAAATCCTGTCTCTACAGAAATACAGGTGTGCACCTGTAGTCCCAGCTACTTGGGAGGCTGAGGTGGGAGGACCACTTGAGCCCCGGAGGCGGCGGTTGCAGTGAGCCGTGACTACACTCCAGCCTGGGTAACAGAGTGAGACCCTGTCTCAAAAACAAAAAAACAGAAACAAAAATCACGAACTCCCCATTCTCCAACCGCCCCTGGTAACCGCCATTCTACTTTCTGTTTCTATAATACATTTGACTACTCCAGGGACCTCATATGAATGTGGAATCACATAGTATTTGTGCTTTTGTGTCTGGCTTGTTTCACTTAGCATAACGTCCTCAAGGTTGATCCTTGTTATATCACGCGTCAGAATTTTTCTCCTTTCTAAGGCTAACATTTCACTGTATGAATACACCACATTTTGTTTACCAGTCATCAGTTGATGGACATTTGGATTGCTTCCACTTTTTAGCTTTTATAAATAACACTGCTATGTTGTTTTTAAGTAGTAAAATTACTATAAATTTTCCTTTTTTTTTTCTTTTTTTTTGAGACAGAATCTCGCTCTTGTTGCCCAGGCTGGAGTGCAATGGCACAACCTCAGCTCACTGCAACCTCCACCTCCCAGGTTCAAGCGACTCTCCTGCCTCAGCCTCCCGAGTATCTGGGATTACAGGAACATGCCAACATGCCAGGCTAATTTTTTTTTTTTTTTTTTTTGGTATTTTTAGTAGAGACAGGGTTTTACTGTGTGGGCCAGGATGGTCTTGAACTCCTAACCTCAGGTGATCCACCCACCTTGGCCTCCCAAAGTGCTGGGATTACAGGTGTGAACGACTGTGCCCGGCCTTAATGTTCCCTTTCATTACAATTTCCCTATTACCCAGTGTTAAGAACTGTCTTTTTTTCCCCTTTTGCTTAGTAGTCTGTTACCATTATTAATTTATCCCTACACTCTCCCCTAGCTGAGTAAAGATTTTCTCAATATATTCATATCAGTTATTCTATTAATTTCATTGCTTGAAGCAATCTTTCCTGGCACCTTCTGGCTGGCTCCAATCTGAACCAGTTGCTCTCCAGACCTGACCTGCTTCTCAGCTGCTGAGGTGGGGTCTCCTTCACCATCATCCCCTCTGCCTGCTGCGTGTTGGTTGGATCCTCTCTTTTCTGGGTCCAGTGTCTCTTGCTTTCTTGGTTTACTCCTTCACTGGGGTGGCACGCAACTTCCACTGACATGGGAGGTAAAGTTTTTGAGAACCTGTGTGTTTGAAAGTGTCTTTATTCCACTACAAACTTCACTGATCATCTGGCCAGATGTCAAATTTAAGTTCGGAAATAATGGCCCTTCAGACTATTGGAAGCATTGCTCCATTATCTGCTGTTTGCAGAGGTGCTGTTGAGAAGCCCAAAGCCGCTCTGGTCCTTTGTACCTTTTATAAAACCTTCAGTAGTGAGGATGATCCATCACTTTTAGAATGTAAATTTGGAGGCGTTCAACCTAGATACTCCTGTTGTTCAGTGCCCACTGCAGGAGAAATAGAGTATATTATTATTCTCAGAGAGTTGCTGTGGCCAAGACAAAGGCTCAAAAGATGATACTGCTTGTCCCCATCATTTCCTCCACTGCCCCTTCCTCTTCTCATGTTGAAGGTATTTTTTTTCTCACTGGAGGAGGATAAATAAACTTTCTATTATGCTGAAAGAGCAGGATTAAGCTTATCTTCTGAGCTCTCAAATCCTCTGAGACAGCCTTCATTCTTCACATATTGGAAGTCACCCATCAGGTTGTCTTCCAATCAAACATAACATAGCCCTTTCCACCTTCACAACCCTAGAATCTCTTCCGCTGTTTGGGTGTTTTTTGGAGTTCCCCATCTTTTAACTAAATGAACCTCACTGCCCCAAGCCAGGCACATCATCTTAATAATAAATCACAACTCTCACTGAAGGTTGACTGTGTGCCAGACACTGTAAATGCTAATTGCACCACGTTTCATCTTGGTTAATCCTCAAACCCCACTAGTGCCATGACCCAGCTGGGGTTCAGGGAAGGCTATTGACTTGCCATGAGCTGGTTAGTGCAAAGCTGGGATTCAAATTCAGTTCTTCTCACTCCAAAGAACCAAGCTCTGAACAGTTTTGCTAGGTTGCCTTGGTCAGAAAATATACAATGGGTGGGTAGTTAGTGGTTCTTATCTAATCCCAGTCCACAGGAGGCAAACGCACCAAAAGATTGACAGTGATGATCTCTGGGTATTGGAATAATATTTTCTTTTTTATCCTTTTCTTTATTTTCCAAATTTTCATCTCTGCCATAACTTTCTTGATAGAAAAAATAAAATAAAGACATTTGAGTTACAATAACTTTATCATCAGAAAAATAAAAACAATAGACTCCATGGCTGTAACGTTTAACTCAGACTCAGTGTCTCCATTGTTGTTGTGTCTGGAATAAGCTGAAAATTCCTCCAGGCAGGAGTGCTGCCCTTCATGACACTGATTATCCTGCCAGGCCCTGGATGACAAACTCTAATAATATATCTACTCCATTCCTCTGCCTACTCAGCCTGCAATTCTATCTGAAAAGTCATCAGATCTGTCTGTGTCCCACAAGACCTGAGATGGTTTCCCACAACCCCTCCTCCACTCAGATGTGCAGAACTGGATTAATCACATGTCACGGCTCATGACACACTCCTCATTGTCCCTGCATTCCCCATCACCCTATTTGTAAAACAAGATAAAGAACATCCACCAGCTCACCACCCAAAATGAGTGTAATTTACATCCATCTGCTCAGCTGAGTGAACTCTCCAGGATATTGAGTTTTCGGCTTACTATTCACTTCCTGTTAAGTATATGTGTGTTTTCTAGTTTTATCATAAATATATGTATTCTGGAAAACTTTGTTGTTTCATTTTAGTTGTTTTTAACATTGTAAACGGAGCTTAATGTGTGTAATTCTTGGACTTAACTTGCTTTTTTGTTTGTTTGTTTGTTTTTGAAATAGGGTCTTGCTCTGTCACCCAGGCTGGAGTGCAGTGGTGCGATCTCAGCTCACTGCAACCTCTACCTCCTGGGTTCAAGTGATTCTCATGCCTCAACCTCCTGAGTAGCTGGGATTACAGGCTCCCGCTACCACATTCAGCTAATTTCTGTATTTTTAGTAGAGTCAGGTTTAATTACGTTGGCCAGGCTGGTCTCAAACTCCTGACCTCAAGTGATCTGCCTGCCTCGGCCTCCCCAAGTGGATTACAGGCATGAGCCACTGTGCCCAGCTTTAACTTTCTCACTATTATATTTTTCAGATTCATCCACTTTGTTGCATGTTGCTATAAGACCATCTGCTGTTTAATGGTTTAATAACTTTCCATTGTATGAATGTATTACATTGGATTTATCTTTTCTGCTGTTGATGGACAGTTGGTTGATTTATACATTTTTGCTATTACAAAAAGGTCTGCTCTGAACATCTTTATATATGTCTCCTGGTTTTTCTTGTTGGTATACCCAAGGATGGAAGGTTAGACCATAGAATATATGAATTTTCACATACAGTATGTCAATTTTCATACACAAAAAGGCCAAAGTGTCATCTGAGATGATGGCACCACTTTATGTCTGCAACAGATGTGTATAAGAAATCTAGAAAGCTGCCTGCTTTTCAGATCCACATACAGATTCCCCAATATAAACTGTTACATCCTTAACCAAGGTTTCAGACCAGATTTATGCTAAAGTTCTAGTTCTGGGCTAGAGCATCTTACCCTTTGTAAAGTTCTTTGGGGAAACACTACATGTGATTTTTCTCAGTCTTCTTGGATTTATCTAATTCTCCAAAGAGTTTTTAAGAACCCCAGAGAATACCTAGCCCTAACAGCATCCTGCTGTGTCACAGAAAAGCAGTAGAGTTGGGTGTTCTTACCTCTTCCCTGGTGCTCCACAAACTCACAGACAGAGGATGTCATGTGGTTAACAGAAGACAACATCAAGTAGTCACTGGCAATAGTAGTTATTGGAAGAAGAAAGTGGCTATTTTTCAATTCAATTAAATGTGGTAATGAATGAGTGAATTCCCCCCAAGGGTAGGAGAAAGGAGGTCCTTATTTTTCTTCATTCTTTATTTCTTTTTTTGGAATCACTTTTTCCCCCAGAGATAGTCCCTTTATCTAAGAAAAAATAACTTCTTCCAGAGAGACAGACTGCTTTCCCAAAAACATAAAAGAAGCAGGCCACCTGCGCTAGCTCCACTGTGTCTTCCTAGCCAAGTGAAATTGAAGGCGGCAGGGGAGGTCTCTGTGGGACATGGAGGGGAAGGGAAGTATCCATGGGACGTAGAGGAGAGAGGGGAGATCTCCATGGAGTGTGGAGGGGGAAAGGAGGTGACCATAGCTCTGCTTCCTCCACAGGGAGGGGGAGTGGCCCAGTCTGGCTCCATCCAGCAGGCTTCACCAGTGCCCTCGGCCCCACCACAGGCAGAGCCGTTGGGCTCTGCCCGTGTTGCTAGACTTCCAGTTCACTTTTGTTCAGGCAAGTGAGTCTCTGTCATTGGCAGTTTAGCCCTGAGTTCAATTCCACGTTTATAGATTATTCCCTCTCCATTGCCCATTCTAATACTCACCACTGTTGATCTTCCCATCTCTCTCTAAAAAACAAAAAAACAAAACCCTACCACTCAAATCACCTTTCCTTGACTCAGTTCATGTGGTAGGCTCTGCACTCCTTGTCAATCCATCCCTCCATTGTCTCTTCTCTAACTCAGTACTCACCCACAGTGATTTTCAAAAATGTGATCCTTCCTTCCTTCCTTCCTTCCTTC